AAAAGAACATAACCGACTCCTCATATAGAACCAGTAGGTCTTTAAAACATAGGGGTCAAAAGTATAGACGGGTGAAACTACCCTTCTTAATAAAAAGTTTTTGTTGAAAATAATTTCACCTATCTATAGTCAAAGGGAGAAAGTAGGTAAGAGTGAAAATAAAAAAATAAAAAAAAAACAAACTCGGTAAACACGCCAAATTTAAATTGTTTTGATGATTATCACGTTACATCTGATCATCACTTCTTGATCTCAAAATCTGATTGGCTGTTACGTAGTGTAGGTTGATCACCAATAAAAATCGGAAATCAAAATAATAAAATGAACGAAAGATTTAAAGTAATAAAACTTTTAACATTAAGGTTAGCGTTAGGGTGGAGTTAGGCTAAGAACGGCGTATATATCAAATTTTGACAAGGAACTTTTTTCTTGTTAGAATGCGAAAGACGGTTTCATAGGCAAGATTTTGATTTTTCAAAAGTGCATAACTTCACTTTGGCAAAGATCGCATTCTGAACCAGTCTTTTGAACCGGTTCCCAGTCCATAAATTAAGACGGTCTTGATAAGTCGGTTCATAGTAAGGATACCAAATATGTGTAATCGTATAGTTCAATATTTATACTTAACGTTAAGTATAGTGATATAACATTGCATTTCAAAGATCTATCATAACGACTTTCTTATCAAAATTGGTTAAACAACTTCGAGAAAATATACACATTGAAAAACTCTATTAACTCAGGAGATAAAGACTCCCTGTAGTCCGGTAGGCTCATATCTGATACATGCTAAAACTAGCCAGTTTTTTAACCGATTTTCACGTGGCGTGCATGGTCATGTAATAGCAATGTTCTTGGAACGCACCTAGCATCGCCACCAAAATCAGGCACGTAATCGCTTTTTAAATTCAATCTGAGCACAAGAATAACCGAATTATGAGAATTTTGAAGAAATAATTGAAGCTTTTTTACTTATTTATTATTTTTTATTTATTCATATTATTTATCAGAATCTAAGAATTTACTTAATTATCACTACGAATTGCATTCGATTCGAATATTTAAAATTCATTTATACCCAAATTCAAATTTTTTTAAATATACATATAAAGCTTTAAATTTGAACTTAATGCTACCAATAAAAGGTGTTTTTGTTACGTCCACTCCAAGTTTTTGAAAGCTTCTTTGCTCGTTCGAAGTCTTTAACGTCACCTACCATCTTTTGAATAGGTTTAAAGTTCGATTCAATGATTCGAAGTTATTTTTTTTGCTTGGGAAGACTGTTAGGCTTTTCAAGATAATCAAGCGCCTAAAACATAAAATTAATAAAAGATATTTATGTAAACACGAAAATACGACAATAACGATAAAGAATTAATTTTATACCTCATGATAATGTTCCGAATAATCAGACGGATTCGGATTATCATCCAATCCGAACCGCAAAATCGGTTTGGGCCAAAAATTTCGGATTACCCTAATTTTGAGATTTGGATCCAGCTTTTTCCACTAATATATAAATTCCAAATTGACCATATTAAAATATTTATCCATTAAATACTTCGGATTGGCTCCGAATTCAAACCGAAATTTCGGATTCAATCGGTTTCGGTTCAATCCCAGATCAACTCGAGTTTTTTAATCCGAACCTCATGAGTTTTTTTATAATTTCTTAAAATTTCAGATTCGAATTCACTATCTTCAGTACTCGATTCCTCATTATGTATATTTTGGTTTTCTGTATTTACAAGATCAATCGTTAAATTGACTTGTGTTTGGTTAATTAAGGTTGATGATCGAATATATTCCCATAAAGTTTTCTTAGCTTCCGTAATACTGTAATAAAAGGATATTGAGAATTTCGTTGTACCTAATTAAAAGTAATATTAGACTTGGAAGTGTATATATATATATATATAATAACAACCCTTCCGGAAAAATCTTCCCAAGAGGATTAACAAAATGTCATGGTCCCCTATTGCGTTGTTTACTTTTATCATCATTTTTTTTTATCCTTTTTTCAGACAATTGCACCAATATGTAAACAAAGTAGTCTTTGATTTGTTTGTTGATATTTTTTATGGTAAGCATACGAATAACCATCTCCCTTTTCACAGATCTTTACGATCTTAAGTGCTATTGAACTTGCAGATGTTTCGTTTGTGCCATTTACTTCTAATTCATTAATTATTTTAGAAATATCTATGATTATATCAAGATCCATATATATATTACTTTCTCTATAAGTTTCTCATGAACTATATATTCAAGCATGCAAATATCGTTTAAAATTTGATCTTTTTTTTTGCTTTCATTTATGCGGTTTGAACATTCAATGCAAATTTTATTATTATTTTGAAATGCAGTATTGTGTTTTATAATTTGACAAGACGAACAAAATTGATTCGTATTTTCCATTTTACCATTCTTACAGTACTTCAAAAAGAACAGTTTAAGCTTATCAACTTTCTCAAGTGGAATATTAGATCAAGTTAAAGTATGAATTAAATCTATATTAATTGCATCCAGTTCTTCTCAACAAGTATTAATGTTAGGAGCTGGTTTATTAGTTTCTTGTAGATTTCCTTTGGCTTTATGTTCATTTGTTTTATGCTTATCAGTTTTTAAATGTTGATCAAGTAAAAATTTATTTTTATAATTTATGATGCATTTGCAGAAGGTATAATATAAACTTTCACCTTCAATGTAAAAGTTTTTTTTGTACTCTTCGTTTTCATTAACATGGTTGTTGGGTGTAATCATTTTTGAAAAGCGAAAATTGAAAAAACAAATTTGCAAATTTTTTTTTTTTTGAACTTTATTATATATTAACTAACAATTTTTAAAACTTATATTGTTGTACAAAGAGTAAATTTAATTTCTATTTTACATTGTTAATTTTTCTAAGAGTGAAACTAATTTCAAAGAACTTTGGTCTTCTAATGATTATATTGATAATTTTTTCTAAAAATGAAACTAATTTTAGATTCTAATACTAAATGGTGAAACTAATTTCGGATTCTAATTGCTAAAAAGCAAAACTAATTTTAGATACTAATGCTAAAGGTGAAACTAATTTCAGATAGTTTCGATTTATTAAAATAAATATTAATGTCTTCTTTTGGTGAAGAATTTGAATGAAATCTATATACATACATACGTACATATTGCACGCACATATGTTCACATATAATTCATGAAAAACATGTCACATATGCACATATGTATATCACATTTTCTCGTCCACTCTAGCCGATATGCAGCAAATCATTTCTAATAAAGTTAAGCATCTTATTTATTGGTTGCAACTTGTTCTGATTGTTCTAATTGTTCTGATTATTCTTAGCATGCCCCCAAATCTTTTTTATCATATTCAGGTTGTATTTATAAGATTCAATAAGTTAAATTGACCTTTGATTCTATAATTCAATGTCTGCATTGTTGACAAGTCAGATAACTCAAAAGTATTTGCCATAGACGATAAAGATTCTAGAGAATCTTTAATTGTTAGATCTATTGTGAGCTTTGATTGTGTTGATCATAATTTTTAATACATTTTTAATATATATTAATCAAGTCTTGATTTTTTGGAATCTTGACTTTAGTTAAATTTTTAGTTGAATTTTTAGTTCAATCGATGAATTCTTGATCATATCTAACTTTTTTAATATTAGCACCTATTCATGTAATATATTTACTATAAAAGCTAATTTGATATCCGAAGCTTTTTTTATACTGTATTTCTTGTCAAGTTTTATTGGTTGACAAGAACAATTTTTTTCATAAACTTTTGCATATACTAAACATATTAGACAAGCATTCAAACAAAATTTTAATAATATTGACATTATAATAATAAATTTATTTGTAAAACATGTATTATATTTATTTAATAATAATTTTTGAAATTGGAACAACAATGTAATTTAATTTATGACATAGATATTATATCAATATTATAGTAAATAAAATTTAAAAATATATTTTTTATATACCGATCATGCTGAAAAAATTATTGGCCAAAAAATTTTTCGGCTAATTTTTTTATAGATGTCCCAAAAATAATGAAAACAGCTGTAATATGTGCTAATTACTGTAAGTAATCTGATTTTCTATGAATTTCACTAGTAATGATAACCTTCATCATCATCAGAAAAACCACAGAACCCTTTATCATCTTTATTGTTATTGAAGGAATCCTCATCATTAGAGTTATCATTGTTAGAAGATTCTTTATTGTCGTCTTCATCTTCAGTGTCTTCAGTAGAATTTATTTACTTCAACTTCCGGTAATTTTAAATCTTGATCATTTTCTGGAGACAAATTGGATGATATATTTACCTTATCTTCTGAATTAAAGATATGAGATGATTCAGTAGGTATACTTTTTTGAGCTAGACATGCACATGCCAATTTGTCACACTGACCACTTTTGCCAAAAAAATTTTTTAAAAGTCATCAGTATCAATAAATTCACTTAATATATATGCAAAAGTAAACGTGATTATATATGCAAAATCAGGGCCAGCTTTATTGATATGAAATAAAAATAAGTTACAAGATTATATTCTAAAAAAATGTGCTATTTTTTCTTTTTTAATCTTTCACTTCCATTATTCGAGAGAGGATTTATATTATTCATCTTCCTAGATCTTTTTTGACCCTGTTCCTCTCTGCACGATAAAGAAACTGTGAGACTCATAGGAATATTTCAGGGAGGGTTCGAACTAGTTTGATCTAATGCTTGTATTAATAAATTCTTATTTACTATCAAAATATTTCTTCAATTTAATAACAAGCACACAAGCAGTTTTACTTGCCGTGAGAACTTTGGCACTAGTTAGATTTCTGCATGATCGATGTGAAAATAATGAAAAAGATCACCCACATCATTTACTAAAACATTTAAGTAAATGATCTCTTTGGTGACCTGGATTATGGCTATACCAAATTGATTGCTAAGTGGATAGCATGCTAAATTAATAAAATTTATACCGTCTAGTGCTTTTCGGCATAGTTTTATTTCATCATTCGTCTTTTTTGTACCATTACAAATGATATAAGAGAATTCGGCATACACAAATTCATTGATTTTCCTCCATATTTCACTAGTGCTATGACATCAGGCTTTTTTTCTATTTGTTCTTTACTTATTTCACCAAGGTTCCTTCAAAATTTGCTTGCCAAGCTCTGCCGATCTGCTCTGTAATAAACAAATTTAAAATATCTTTATAGAATAAGGTTTTTCTTTAGCTAAACTTAAAATTTTGCTTACGAGCTCAAACAAATAATTCCGACTGGCAATTTTCTTCAAACTAGCTCGAAGTAGAGGCATTACCACATTCACAATATAGATCTCCTTGCTTTGTTCTTTACAAGCTGTACAATTTTCAAATGCTGGATTATTTCAGATTTCACCTCTAAGTGGTAAAAAGAAAATTAGAAATTAACTAATAGTAATTATGCAATAAAAATTACTTACAAAACACCTAATATACACTCAGCTCTCCTTTTCAATGCAGGTATATTCTCCTTCCAAGTCTTATCATGCACAATATTTCTAAGTACATTTGTATTATTCGTTCTATTAAAATCATTTACGAACTGATCATACATAGAACCTATTAACTCAGGTAATGTGCAATTCATGTTTTCATATGGCTCCTGATTATGTATAATAACAAGAATACAGTGTCATTTCATGAGTATAATTTATATTTAATGGATTATATAAATTTACTATGAAAATACATTTTTGCCTTGAACCTAATTCTTGAACCAAGATCGAATTATTGTCTACAATTGTGTTTGCCAATTGTTCAATCCACAAAAGATCTGAGGGGTCAATATATTTCTCCAAATTTCTTTTAAGAGCGTCATAAAGAGATATATCCAAATTAGTCTTGGGGTTTTATATGGAAATGTAATTATTTAAAAGTTACAAATAAGTAAGAATAAATGCAAATTATTGGATGCCTACACTAAGTTTTGATTTTAATATATTATAATTTTTTTTTATTTCTTCCTGTAGTTGATTTGAAGTAGCCTTTTTATTCTATAAAACAAGTTAACTTATATTAGAAAAATATCAATAATTGGAATTGTATAACACATTACTATATTCAATACCTTTATTAGTCTTAAACCTACAATGCTTTTGTAAGTAATTCTTATCTATAGCAGGATGAAATTCGTTAGACACATGCGAAATATATTATATATACATAATATAGTACCATTTTTCAGTGATTAATTAGACTACGAGTATTTGGAAAAAAAGCCACGCACAGCCAGGAAGGATAGTATCTTTGACATCTCGAGGTGTTCTCAAAGATATCGCTCTTTTAGGTTGTCACTACCCTAACCTTCAGCAGTGACCTTCATACTCATCTGTTGTATTTTTATCATATAATAATATATATTAAAATCTTAAATACAACACTAACCTCTGGCATAACTTTTGAGACTTGTTCTTTTCAATCATTATCAACTATTTGTTCCAATGCCAAATCTACTACAGAATTAGCCAAACTTCTGACTTCTTTATAAATCCCCACATTATTACCATCTATCACTAAATAAACTACGCTTGTACCACAAATTGCATCTAAAGGTCTGGATAAAAAAAGATTTTCGATTTTGGTTTTCAAATTTGACATTATAAAAGTGCTTTAAAAATATGCAGGTTTGAAAATAGAAATAAGGAAATCAACTAATAAAATGATGATTAGATATAACATTAAGATACTGCCCTTTTATATATTTTTCTTTTACCTTTCTCTTAAAACTTGAAATATTAAAAAGGTGCTCTACACAGAGAAATTCACAAGTTATCAAGCTATGTAAAGTTAAAATAGGACTTTAAAGGACTTGATACTCCATTGTACATATTGTACATGCATATATTGTATGCATTTAGGTCGAAGTCAGAATATATGTGTCATGAGATGATTGACTGAATTTAGCTATGGTGCCTATTTTAACAGGAGGAAATGTTAATGTTACACAACTAATTTACACATGGTGTGAAACACAAAAAAATTAATTTACAATACTTGATCAGACTTGATCAGTCAGCTAGTACATGTTATTAGGGTTAGTGTTGGCAACATGTCATATGACAAGTCATTTTTGTCATAAATAAAATAAATATTTTTTATAACCACATGTAGTGTTTCTATGAACCGAACTGAACTGAACTCTAGACTAAGTTCAGATTCAGTTTAAATTTCAAACCGAACCTGAACTGAACTTATTTTAAAAACTTAGTTCAGTTCAGGTTCAATATTGAACCTTTAGAACTAGTTCAAGTTCAGTTCAGGTTTGGTTCAAAAGTTCATGAACAAGTTCGGGTTCAATAAATTAAAATAGTAAATATTTTTGCTTTAATAATTTATTAATCAAATATCTAATATTTAATAGTTATCAGGCAGGCACTGCCTGATAACTGGTTTATTTGGTCGAGGATTTTAAGATCAGACTAAGAAATTGAATTCC